GCAATGAAAAAATTCAGATCATGATTTTGATGAAAGGCGGTACACTTCAAAAACATTGACTGTTAACATTACGTGCCAATAAAAAGTTTATGCCCATCTGACAAATACAATAAACCGTATTACATGATGACTGAGTACAACACTAACATGTAATTTAGGTGATCATTAATAAGTGATCAACTACATAGAATGTACAGATCAACATATTTTATACCATTTAATGGATTGACGACACCCTTTTCAAAGCTAAACTGATCCACTTTTTGGCATTAAAGAATAACGATTTGCAAAATAAGCGAACTATGAAGATTATTTGCTTCTATTTCTTCTCAGACAGCGTAAAAGTTGCTTCATTTATAACCATCATTTACGGTTAGCGTGACTTTGGCATGCCTCATTCACACTTTCTCTTCATCATTTACACGTTTCATTAAATGAGTGAACTATGTGTTTAAATTAACTTATGCGAATACTGAAATGAAATTGTATTCACTAATTGTGTATTAAACATTTGAGATTACCCTTTGCAAATTCAATAATCACCATTATATCAACTATTATGTAACAATGATCTACACATTATTATTACTACTCTTGTCACGACGATAACTGACAACTTCAGTTGCATTTCTACTTCACTGACAGCAGCAGTATAGCAGGATAATGAAAAGGATTTTTGTTTATTTCCAAGTTAAACTCAGATGGAACAATGCGAAAATAGTTCATTATTGTAAATAATAATCCGATGTAAAAATGTCAATTCTTACATCCAATTAAAGTACTTTATTCTACTTCGATTTGAACGAATCAGATCACGAAACTGCACCATTTACAGCCAATTAATAAAAAAATTATTACAGGTTACAAAATGTTTGTTCACTTTTCACTTGAGCACAAACTTTCAAAAACAAATTCATCAATTGCTAAATTTTATTTCACATCCTTCATTTTAGAAAAAAAGGGTGGTAGGGGGATAATACGATCCGTGATTCTAATGTCAACCCTTACTTTGGGTGTAAGTTAAACATGGCAACCTTACTACTTTTATTTTCATTGCTCACTACTGTTCACAATCAATGCATAGACTTTTCTCAGCCTTTGATTAAATTGCCTTCGCTCCCCCTCCACTATGTCCAGAGTTTACTAGGACAACTTTCAGAGGGTTAATTAATTGAGTAGAAACTTCTAAAACTTCCCAATCTTCGGATTGTGTGGTTTTCCTCAAAGTCATATGAACATTTATGGCTTTATCCAGTCTGGGGAAATATTGGGGAAAATTCTAAATTTTCTCAAACGTTTTGGGGATTTCCCCAAAATAACTTGAAGTATTTGGTAAAAAAAACATGGATCGAGGGGAAGTTTGGTGGTTTTTGTAGCATATTCCACAAACGTTTCTATTAAAGCTTCCACGAAACTGATAAGATTTTCCCCAAAATCAGGAGATTGGGTTGCTAATATCAACTTACTTCGGAATAAACATACCCTTTATGAACAAACTGAGCTCAGCGGCGATAATTTTAAAAACCATACTACTTACAAGTAGTAAGGGTCATTAAGTGGAAAGATACGTGTTGACTTCGTGATTGATGACTAAATCAATTACTCGGTTTTTATATGCAAGACTGTTCCGAGTTGGAATAATGAAGGTTGGTTTAGCTATGACAATTTTATGCACATTTAATAAATGATCATCCTGCTTTGCGCTTGACAACTCAGTAGTTGGTATATAATTCCCATTTAAACATTAAAATTAAAACACAGATTTCAGCGAAGGGATCTCTTTTCAACGAATTTATTATCAAGCTGTACAATCGTATATATATATATATGAAAATGTTTTGTTAAAGTACTAATTCCGTGAGGAAATGTGAACACTAATAACCAAGATTATAATACTAGATTACGTAATACGAATAACAACAATAGATTTAGTGAATATAGTAAGACGAATAAAATGTTTTGGTTACAATAATTAAAGGTCATTAAAGGTCATAGAGGTGTAAAATAAATAAATAAGGTGATGAGTATTCATGAATAAAATAATGAGAATATAAAACATAAGTAAAGGGGGAATGGAGTAATAATAATAATAAAAGAATGATAATAATAATAATAATCTTAAGGCCATGGTAACGATAATGATAAAACGTACTTCTTTTGTACGCATAGTTCTGGTTTGAGCTCATGGATTGTAAGAGCTTCGGCTATTTTTAAAAGTTTGATCCGAAGAAATCTTGGTAGATTCTTTACATACCTAGTTGACCTAGGTATGTAAAGAATTAGATGTCACACTTAACAAAATTACTGTTATGGATTTAAGCATTTAAGTTGTTTGATTTTCATTGTGTACAGGTTTTAAAAACATTTTACAAGATGACTTAAGACAGACAACAGTTGGTTCATGAGAAGATCAATAATCAAACACACTATAAACAAAATGAATAGAAATCTACCAAATACAATGAACGTCCATCTTCTTTAGACCGTTAGAGTTGTCTTCATACTTCTAGAGAAGGTAGAATTATAGATGACAAAGGAGAAATTTTCAACTTCTTCTTCTGTAGTGAACGAGAACACAAGTAGGGACAATCAAATGTAGTTGAACACAAAATTACAGAACATCTCAGTTAAATCAGAGAACTATACAGTTGTAGTAGGCGTGGAGTCGAGGATGGACTATGATCACCACTACAATTCGATTACGCGCCTAGAATCGACTTGGTTCCTTTGATAACTTGCGAGCCAGAAGGCCTTATTCAGTTCAGACAAAGTATATTTATTGGCGATCTCGTGGTATCGAAAGAATACCGAGACGTGTCAACGAGTATAGGCAAAATGGGCAGAGCGTAAGAAAGTCCGAATCAAACAAGGCGGATAGCGGAACCAGAAGTGAGTCTAATACAGTTAAACAAGTAGAGTAAGACAATCGCTGGTACAATTGGTTACAATAATAATAATTGTTTCTATTATTCCAATCGTGTTCTCATCGAGACAAGCTGATCACTACACAGTAAACACTTCATTTGCAAAATGTCAATCAATCATCTCAGACTTCATTGTTCCTGCATTTTCAAACGACTTGCTTTCTGTTCCCGTTCTTTCCTTCACAATCTTCTCGACCTTTTGGTTCCATATATTCTAATACTGACTATCGTTATATCCTACTCATATCGATATAAATAGTAAACACCACACTTCTAATATGGTTTCAACTTGTAATATTCTCAAAAATCTGATAAATACTATGCTATATATGCCTTAATTAGGAGTATATAGGACTTTTTATTTAAATTGTCATTTATTTATACCTATTCACAACCAATTAGTGTCTATATAACATATTCATAATATTACATAGTTGAAATCATGAGTCAATTGAAGCTAAACCACCATGAAAAACCTGGAAGCACTGAATGGCCGTTTCGTCCTATTATGGGACTCCTCAGTGGCAGTGCGCATCCACGATCCCACCTCGCGAGATTCGAACTCAGGACCTAGCAGTTACGCCCGCGAGCGCTTAACCACAAGACCACTGAGCCGGCTGGCATCCAACGGTGTTAATGTCTAACTTCAACCAATTAACGAAATTGATCAACTATTCACCAATGTCTTCAGTCAGTTGATATCTCCCAAAAGGCTTGGTTGAACTCCACTGGTTACTGCTTCTCACTAGAACTCCAGGAAATACATCATGGAGCCAGTCACTAGTGAGCAGTTGGTCATTATCAGTAGGGGGTTTTGTGCGAATTTTAATAGTTTTATATAATTGAAATCATGAGTCAATTGAAGCTAGACCACTTTGAAAAATCTGGAATCACTGGACGTCCTTTTCTTCTTATTATGAGACTCCTCAGCAGTGCGCATCCACGATCCTGCTCCTCAAGATTTGAACCCAGGACCCATCGATAACTATTCATAATAGTCTTGACTAAGTTACTAACTCTATGACAATTCAATTCTTCAACCATGTCAATCATAATCATAAGTGTCATTGAAACAATCCTTATCAATATAGAAACAATCTTATAAACAAATACCATATTTCGAATGGATATATGTATATGTTTATATACATCTATATACGTTTCATTGGGGTAAAAAGAAGAGTCAAAGCATATAGATATAGATACATAAACAGAAATGCAAAATGCAGAATGCAAGAAAAGTAATCCATCATCATCATCATAATAAGATAGAATATCTAGCCAATTGAATGATTAAACAAAAAACAATTTTGTTTATATTATACATATTACTATCAATTCAGTAAATAAGTAGTTAAAAAGTTCATAAATCAATAACTAATCAATAGTAGTAGTAGTAATGGTAGTAGTAGTAGTAGTAGTAATGGTAGTGGTAGTAGTAGTAGTATTACAATTTACAATAGTATTTTCCTATTCATTATATGTATAGGTAGATATATACCTTGAGCTACACAGTACTATATACAATATTGCATAACCTGATTGACTGAATACATCAGTTCATGGTTTGATCGTTCAGTTTACAGGAAAAATGGAAAAAAAAACAAGAAAAGAAAGGACACTTTTTCTTAAAGTAGACATTACAGAATGTAATAGAAGTAATGGTACATTCTGATCAAATTATTACATAATCATTTTGAAGAAAGTTAGGGTAAGACTAGGATTTATGGATGATTTTTCATAGACGTCCGAATGACCTTGAGAGTGTTCACCTGGTAACTAAGACTAAGTAAGGGTTATAAATCAGTTCGAGGAATTAGGATTAAGATTTACAGTTGATGGTTAGAGTTAAGAATTAGATTTGCGGTTTTCATCACGAATTGACCTCAGCCATAATGCCAAAACTCTATTAAGCCAAATGGATGAATGAATTTCGCGCTGAAATCCAAGATCTGTTATCTTCAATCCGATTGGCTCATCCATAGATTATAGTCTCCTTGAAAGTTATTTTTTAGAACATTTTATATATATATAGTTCGGGTTTTTCATTTTAAATAGTAAGTAGTATATCATCTTCTATTTTAAAAAAGAAAGAAAACGTTGTTCAATGATTAATTCATGAATGGATTGATTACATAGTGAACTTGATCCATTATGATATATAAATGAATTATTAAGGCACACAATCTTCTTATTCTTATTATCTTTATGATTGTCAACTTCAATTTCAGAAGTTGCGATTGAACTTTGTTCTTCTTTTCGTTTTTCTTCCCTTTCCTCGTTTGCTGCCATAGTAACATGATCCGTTTCACCATTGGATACCGTTTTAGGTTGCATTGACTCGTTTTCTTCTTTAATCTTTTCTCGTCGTTTTTCTTCTTCTTCTTCTTCTCCTTCTGCAATCGGTCCATTTCTATTTATTGTAGATTGTTCTGTATACATCACTGATATAGTTTGAATTATATTATCATTTTTATTAGATGATATTGATTCACCGTCATATCCATTCATTGAACTTAATGATGGACTTAATTGAGGTATAGATGAAAGGGTATTATCAATAATTGAAAAAAAAGAATATGTAAATGCGTTTATTAAACACTGATACTTATGGTATTTTTTAAACTTGATATAATACCACTACTTAATCGTTAAATAAGTAGTTTGAATAATATCACTGAAAATTGGTGTGGTTATACGAAAAGATAAGTGACATGTAAATACATTAAATTAATTTTGAATATTTCAGTAGTTCAGATTATGAATCAATTGAAGTTAGACCACCATGGAAAACATGTAAGCGCTGCACGGCCGTTTCGTCCTATTGTAGGACTCCTCAGTGGCAGTGCGCATCCACGATCTCGTCTCACGAGATTCCAAACCAGTACCTATCAGTCTCGCGCGCGAGCATTTAACCACCAGACCACTGAACTTGCTTGCCGGCACCCAACAGTGTTAATTTGTAACTTCAACCAATCAATATGATCGTTTCGGAGCTAATCAAACTAGTTCTTCAAATAGATTAGATCTTTTGAATTTTGATCATTGAATGATAATTAATCATTCAATCAATAAATTTTGATCTGAAGAGATAAAATTACATAATTTATCAAAAGATACTATTAGCCATGGAACCAATCTATTGAGGATCACTTGAATTTAAAATCTTACTACCATTATGCTCTGTCATAAGTCCAATTCACTCCATCACTATGGTGTGTTACTGACTGACTGATTAAATACATATTTGCCAGGTGATCTGAAAGCTGTCTTCTCAATACTGGGGATGTAGTGAATGGGAGTAATCAAATGTATTTGAACACAAAATTACAGAACCTGTTAGTGAAATCTGAATTTCACAGTTACTTCACAGTTATATAATATACCCTTGTGAGCTCGGATAATTTTACATTGATTTTCAGGAGAACCGGACCTCATCCAGACTTTCACGTGACAAACTAAACAGTACGGCTCAATCCCGTACTACTGCTACTACAAGGAGGGAGAAGTGGGAGAAGAAGAAGATGAAGAACAAGGAGAGAGACTAACCATGACCATGTATAATAATCATGAAGTTAACAAATATACAAGACAATGTTTATTAACAAAAGAAGGGAAGTTGTAAGAAGAAGAAGAAGAACAAAAAAAGAAAAAAAGAAAAAAAGTAAAAAAAGATAGAATACGAAAAGGGGGGAGAAAGAATTGAACAACTAAATTTGTTGTGTAAAATGGGGTGGTGATATGTCAGGACTACATGAAATGTATTACTAAGTTACCCTGCTGTGTAATATAGATAGATGTGTGTTTATGAGTGTGAGTGTGTGTGTGTGCATGTTTAAAATTCATTTCTAAAAAAAATGATATTTTCAAATAAGAGCTAATCAGATATGTTGGCATAACTGAAGATTGAATAGTTCCTTTTTCCTCGTTGAAGTTCTTCAAATGGATCAAGTAGTTCAAATGATAGCTTATACTTCAACACCTACTTAAAAACTATTTTACCTACTTGTGAGTAGGATAAATCAAATTGATTAAATAATAAGATTAGCCAAGTGAATCTGTCAATACATGCTAACCTAGACACGAACAAATACAGACGAAGACAGCAAATGTAGAAGCAGCAGCTTCTGTATCAATAGGCCTCAACATACACAAAGGAAAAAGCAAGATTCTCAAATACTACACGGAGAACACCAAACCAGTCACACTTGATGGAGAAACTCTGGAAGATGTGAAAACATTCACGTACCTGGGAAGCATCGTTGATGAACAAGGAGGATCTAATGCAGATGTAAAGGCGTGGATTGGCAAAGCAAGGTCCGCATCCCTACAACTGACAAATCTATGGAACTCAAAATAACTTTCACCTAATTTCAAAGTGAGAATCTTCAATACGAACGTCAAGACAGTCCTACTGTACGAAGCTGAAACGTACATCGTCATGAAGGTACAAGTATTTATAAACAGTTGTTAACGCAAAATACTCAACACGCACTTTCCGGATAATATCATCAACAGCGTTTTATGGGAGAGGACAAACCAGCTTTCAGTTGAAGATGAAATTAGGAAAAGACTTTGGAAGTGGATCGGACATGCATTACGGTAATCACCAAACAACATTTCGAAGCAATCCCTAACTTGGAATCCGGAAGGGGAACGAGAAAGTGGAAGGCCAAAGAACACATTACGCCGGTAAATTGAAGCAGATATGAAAGGAATGAATAACAACTGAAAAGAACTGGAAAGGATTGTCCAGGACAGGGTTGAATGGAGAACGCTGATGAGCGGCCTATGCTCCTCGACGAGTGGTAACAGGCGTAAGTAAGTAATTAAGTAGTCTGTACTGTTGCCTGAAGCTAAGACTCACTAACTGTTGTTATATGGAATAGTGTCTCTTAACTACTATTAACTGATCGTTCACTTGTTGTGCAATTTCCTATCATTTATAGCTCCGTTATTCATAAATTATGGTCGCTTATTTGAGGTGTAGTCCTGTCTGATCATTCTTGTATATAAATCAATTTGTATTTGTTTGAAATACAACAAAAGATTCTTTGTTCAGTTACCGTGTACTTGCTTCAGACTGAAACTAATCTAAAGAAAATCGTGCTTCCTGAACCAATATATGTTACCAATTATCTTGATCATTGCTCAAGTCCCACAATAGGACAAAACGGCAGTCCAGTGGTTCCAGGTTTTCCTCGGTGGTCTATCTTCAACTGACTCATCATTTCAACGATCAAGTTAAATTGTTGTTGATCAGTGTATATCACTGGTCAATGTTATGGCTGTCCGTTTTGCAGGCAAAACCTACATTACAACTTGTAAATTTCAATAATGGACTTAAATTGATGAAATATTCACAAATGATTCAAGTTCTGAACATTTACAAAGATTTATTGTTTGGTTATATCTAACATACTCTGCGCTACGGCGATTCTTCAAATGTAAAACGCTCTCTCCGCCGTTCATTCTTCTGCTTTATTGGTCACGGCCCTTGATTGAAGATTATAATAGTATTATAGCATCCTTTTAGGCCTTCCCACACTATTTTGGAGCTTTTGCCCCGATCATTATTAAATCATACTACAGGATTTAATCTTCTTCATTTTGCTGTTGGTGCCATCACGTGTAGAGGAACCTTTGTTAATCAAGTGAATTTATTTGTGGTTGTCATCTCAGAGAGCAGCTTGCAAGTAACATTCATGTCATAACAACTATTACCATTTGTTGCCTAATATTACCATTTTATATTGTAACTGTAATTTGTTAACTTTCGCGCTATTCATAGACATACGCTTAGGTTTGTAGTGTTAATTGTTTTTGGTATATTATTGGTAACTTTGCACGTTGTTATCAAGATATCAAGATGTTCACTCTGGGACTCGAACCCAGTACCTTTCGCTTCAAACGCCATCGCCTTATTCACTCAGCTACTGAGTCCTGATAGCCATTTGCTTGCACAATGAGGTGAAGTTTAAATTCACTTGGTATTGTTTGTTTGAATCTTCCCATTGATGTTTAAGACTGCAATTGATCAGTCTCTAATTGGCATATGTGCATTATGTGCGTATTGCCTCGATATAGTGAAAAGTACTGGGTTCGAGCGCACAGAGTGAACATCAACTCTAAGATGCAGGTACATTCACCTGACGAGTCCGAAATAAGACGAAACTCGCGTCCTTTATTCCACTGCTAGCCACTATCCATCTTTGCTTATAATGCTTAGTTATTAAAAATCGTCATATTTTGAATTATGGATAATTAAATAATCAAGTATTAACTAGATTCAATAGAAGGTGAAATGTTGACTGAAATACCTAAGATATACATCCAAAGTAACGAAACTTTAGAATCTTGCAAATTAGTCAAAAGTTCCAAGAAAAGGATTTCTTGTTTGGCAAGTGAGCAACTCAAAAGCTTGACACTGATTTCCTTACCGCATTCTAAATTTCCTGAATCCTCTCACACTTGTGGTAGAAAAAAGGCTCAGTGTAAAGAGAGAGGCCTCACTTCATAATTCGTTAATATACATAGAACAACTGTAATTATGAGTTTATTGGTAACTTTTGGCCTCTATAACCAAAATTAGGAATCATTCAGTTATAGTATGGCACATAGGCCCTCAATTTTCTGGATGATTTTGTGACATATACGAATTGAACGAAATTTCCCTAGCTTTTGCCTGACTTTTAAAGACGTCGTCGAGGGATTCTTCGGAAATTGTAACATTCATTTTTTTAAAGGATATGATTTACTTTTTGTGCCCATCCGTTTTCTGGAGGCATTTCGCTTTCCGTGTTTTTTATCCATCTCTTTTGGTCTTCTGTACTTCAATGGTTTTGGTTTCTCATTCATAATGATGTTCACTGGAAATGTCAAGGGAGCATTTCCAGTGTACTTTTATGTTTATGTAATAGCTCTCTCTCTATTACGATACCAATTGTAATCAACAATAATACTGAGTGTAATGTATGTATTACCAATCCCCAGATCACTTCAAAACGTACTTCTAGTAGTTACGAAATGACCATTACAAGAATACGAAAAACAGTGGACACACTAGTGATGTTAGCTGGTGTAGATTTAGGTTGAAAGAAAGCTAGGAGTGGTCAAACCAAGAAATGGCATCAGTTCACAAAGTCACTGAATATTGGAATGAACTACATTAATAGATATAGACCATCTGGTTGAGGTTTGCCTCATTATCGTTACCAATGGTTAGAGAATTTGAGTGAAATAACTCAAAATGCAGAAACATAGGAACAAAAATCAAACCAATGGGAGATACAACCAAAACAAAGAAATAAACAATGACAGATTTAAGGTCAACAAGGACCAATCAACATCAAGGTATACAGGACAAGCTGTGAATCACATGTGGAAAAATTCAAACACTTCACTTCTACCCGAACTTTTCGCTGATGATGTCGTTCAAAAGGACGATGAAAGCTGCACAAGAAAACCATCGAGCTCAGAGAACAAACCTCCATCACAATCATCCAACTGAG